AAGTCAACTTTCAGCCTCACTTCTGGATCCGTCCGTATCTCCTTACTGTTTCCCCCTCTTCTATCAGTCCCACTGTTAATCTATGCTGTCGTTTCTTGTACGCCATCCTAAAGTCTCTGCACAAGACAGAGTAGAATAGATAAATTATTGCTGGCTCTAGCTTCAGCTCCAAAACATGGGACATAGGAGCGGAAACTTCCTGTGTGGGCCGCACCTGACCGCTAGGAGCAGCGCTTTCCAGGGCCCCTGCTTCACACCTGTAGCCTGTGGCGGACTTCAGTGGCTGACCTCGTGGGTCCTCCACATCCAGGCTCATGCCTCTATGACAGGGACCCACACGGCATAACACGGGGGTGCTGCCCCTGACATAGGTCGGGTGGAGTTGAAGGGATGGGGGCGATGGCTAGCCAGGCCAGACCCTAGGCTTGTGACTTCTAGGAGCATGCCCTTCCATTGTCACCCCAATGACAGGAGCTCAGTGAGGGGAGGGGAAGGAGGAACAGCACTCACTCAGTGCCCAGGCCGGGAGGGGCAGCAGCAGCAGTCTGTTGAGAGTGGGGACCCACCTTCCTGCTCCCAGAGCTGCGCCAGGCTGGGCCTCTCCCGCCTCCTGCCACCATGCTCGGCACAACACCCTGGAAGCTAGACTTACCTGGAGTACCTTCCCTGCCAGGGGGCGGGGGAGTGGGCGAAGACCCTGCACAGTGAGGTCTCACTGACAACCATGAATCCTTCCCAGTTGGTCCCCGAAACATCCCTCAACCTCTGAATGAAGCTGAGCAGAGAGGGTAAGCAGGGTCTCTGTCTGAGGGTCCTCCACACCGTGGCCCAAGCAAGGCCAGAGGCTGTAGCAAATGTCAGGCAGAGAAGTCCCTGGCCCACAGGAGAGGGAGGCAGCCTTTAAAGACATGTGCTTCCTGGCAGGCAGCAGTGCCAGGCTTGGCTTTTGATCAGAAAAAATCCCAGCTGTTGGCAGAGACAAAAGACAACCCCTAGAAACAGACTGGCTGGGAAAAGATGGAAGAGAGGGTGGGGACAACTCCAGTCCCCCTCCTCCGCTGGCACACAGCCTCCCGCCACCGTGGCCAACCTTGCTTCTCAGCAGGGAGCGAAGGGGCACCTCCAGACAGACTTCAAATGCCCCACACACAGAGTCAGCAATTGAGCTGGAGAAGAGAAGAGAATTCACAGATTGATAGGGAAAGGCGTCAAGTGTGCCCCTGGCAGTGTGAGAACATGGATGCGAGATGAGACATGCCTGCCTCCAGCCAAGTGCTTCTCTCCTCCCGACTTCCCAGCCCATGGGCAGCCAGAGGGTTTGTTCTAGTGCATTCTCTCTCTCTCTCTCTCTCTCTCTCTCTCTCTCTCTCTCTCTCTCTCACACACACACACACACACACACACACACACACACACAGCTCTCTATAGCAGCCATAGAAAATCACGCTCTCTGCTTTCTTCCAGAAGGATCGCTCACACTTGTGAATGGAATAGAATCCCCCCTCCACCTGTTTCTCATTAAGGAAGTGTGTTTTCCAAGGTAGCATCCCACCACCTACAAACAGAACTGTTCCCCGCTGAGGGCCCTCAGCCCAATAAAGCCAAGAATTTGTGGTGACGGAGACAGACTCGGGGGGCAGGCTGCCATTCCAGCCCCAGCCCTCTCTTGGGACAGGCCTCTTGCCTCACTCGCCTGTCATGGACCCTCGGCCTCGGGCCAGTCTTGGAGGTCATCAGGATGGAGGCAGCCTGTGGAATTCCTGCCAGAGCATGTGCTCCCCTGAGTATGGGGAGTCCAGCAGCACCCCAAACTCTGCCCCCAGTCTGAATGGTTGGCTTTCATTCTTGTCCCTATCAATTGCACCCACAGAACTGAGAATTGGGCCCCAGAAGGGCAAGAAAGGAGGCTGGAGGACCAAGAGAGCGCCTCAAAGACCAGGTGCGTTTGAGAGTTGGAGTGAAGAACTTAGCAAAGAACTCAGTACTGACCTGGGACCCCTGCGCGCTTTTCCCAGTGCCTGCCAGGATGCCACTCCCGGCTTTCCCCACTCCACCCCAGCTCCTGGGGGCCCCTGACTTTCTTGGTCAACTATGAGCACGCTGGGGTTGGGGAGGAGGTCTTAGTCTAACGAGGGGCTCTCAGTCTTGGATGCAGATTGGGATCACACCAGGCTCTTCCAGACCCTCCAAATCTGGGTGGGGAGTGGACAGGCACTTAGAGAGGCTCCCCAGTGGGTCTTGGTCTAACTACTCGCCAGCCGGCTTCCCCCCGCCCCCTCCCCTGTCTATGATTTGCACTTGGCTGTGCCTGTAGCCTGACCCTGCCATCTCCAGAGAGGCGGACCTCACGGAAGGCATCCTTCTGAGACACTTCGGGGGTGTTTGCTTGAGCTCAGGATGGATGTATAATCCACTGCCTGCGGAGCCAACTGGGGTGACCACTTACCTGGCTGATGAGCATAGGGGAAGCTTTGGGGATCTGTGACACTGCAGGAGGGGGCTTCCGTGTCCTTGGGTCTGTGGGAAATGTCCTGTCCAGACTCCCTCCCTGTTCTTGAAGAGATGCACTGGCACCAGCAGGGACATTGGCCACCCCCCCTTCCCACCTCCCTACTTCATACCGCAGAAGTTGGGGGTCTTTGGCGTGTAGGATAGAACCCAAAGCTCTGGCCCCAATATACGTGAAAGAAAGAATGTGTGGTGTAATTATCATTCCACTCCCAAGCTCAGGGCCAGTGAGGCATGCTCTTGGAGCTGTCCCCAGCAGTGGAAATCGGCTGCCCTGGTGACCAGGAATAAGAGCTCATTGTGGCAGTGATTAGAGCTGAGACAAATGGGGAAGACAGTTCAGCTCCCCATGTTGTTATGTTCTAACAATCTGCTTTTCAAAATCCAGAAAAAGGCCACAGGACAGAACTCCAGGGGAGCAATGTTCCCAGGGGACACCTGGGTTTGTCACACTCTCTGAAATATGGCTGTCCTTCTAGGGCAGGCGTCCTTGCCAGCTCTTTCCTTGGGCTCCCCTTGGGCCTCCTCCAGTCTGCCCTCTGCCCAGCTCAGGCCCCCTGCCCAATCCTGGGTTTCTCACTCATCCCCAACCACTTGTTATGTGGCCTCTGCATTTGATAGCCCTGAACCTGGCCCCCAGGCAGTGACAGTGTTTATCTCTAAGTCCCGGAGATTTTTCTCCTGTCATCTTCAGCAACAAGTGGTTGCAGTTTTCATTATTAGACTTAAAAAAAAAATGTAGCTGAGAAAAGAGATATGTGCCTTCTACCCTACACTGGGAACATCTTGACATTTAAATCCAATTACCCTTTTCCCGTTCTTGATGAGGATATGACATGCAGCTAGAAAATGTTCTGCTAGATAAATACATCATATCCTGACTGCTCAAAACTTCGCAGGGCCAATATGGGGACTCTATGTCCCCTGGCCACCATCGGCCAGTGTGACAAGATGGGTCTGGCCATGTTAAAAGGCCCTGAAAATGGTTGTTTGGCACATTTTTGCAGCATTTGATCTCTTCTCTTCCCCAACTCATGAATTGGGAAAATAGAACAATGACAGAAGCAAGACAACTCTCGTCAACCTTGGTAAAGAGTCTGTAGTCATTCCTGAGCTCCCAGCCATGAGTTTTCAGCAAAATGCCACAACCCAGTTGGCCATAGTGGAGCAGGATTAATTTAACACATTCCCATACTACTTCAGAACTGCAGTTCTCTCAGCAGCAAAGCGCAATGGACTCCAAATCAATCTGAAAGCTAGTAAGGAGGGCTGTGCTATGATTCTGATGTACATACCGGTTCTCTTTGACATCTGGAGAGATGCAGTGCAAGTTCTTTAGCAAGTGCACTTCATCTCTGGATGACCAGGCAGTTCCCTGGCTGGAGAGGGAGACAGTGGGAGGAGAGGAAATTGCCAGGATTCATTAAGGCTGGGAGAATCCTGCCGCCTCCACCTTCCAGAAGGACTCCCTAGTAGGGGCCTGTGTCCAGGGGACCAGGCACAGCTCCCACCCCAACCTTGCCCCACTTTAGAAATCCACTTGCCACTTACAGTTACAGGGTTTGCCTTGACTATCGTCGTTCCATCTCCACCTGGAGAGAGAGAGAGAGAGAGGGAGAGAGAGAGAGGTGTCAAGGAAAATGTAAGTTCATGGAGATTTAGAGTCTCATTTTCACTTAGTTCCAACCACCTAATGTCTTCCCCAACTCACTCCCAGCCATGACTATTACCAGCCCGAACTCACTCTTCTCCCCACTCCCACAGGATGGAGTACAACCAAGCAGAGAAAGGTTAGCCGAACCCTCAGGAGTCAGGAAGGCAGACAACCTTCCCTCCCTCCTTTTTCTATCAGTGCCGGCTGACCAGTCACCTTCCCCTCCTGAGATCTCATCATCCTCAGACACCTTACATGGTGTCTGCAGTTGTTCAGCCCAGATGACACTGTTCTCTCCTGTGTGCTCAGAGCTGGTTAATAAATAGATATTAAGTCACTGACTTTGTGCTACAAAGCGCGGTGTGAGACTCCAGTGGCACTTACATTTGTGACTGCACGGGTGTGAAACTGTGCATGTGCTCGTGTGGTACATGGAATTCAAGGCTCATTCCATCAGCCCCAAAACATTGTTTCCAAGAATTCGCGTGCATTTATGGATTTTTACGAAAACACATTTTGTGTCATCTGATATTCCCTGAATGCTTAGGTAAGAGTTGAAAATGAGATCTTTCTTCCCTGACATTCAGGCTCCGGGCATCTCTCAAGAAGAGAAGGTCAAAGGATCAGACGAGGCTTTGGCTGACAAACAAGTAGCCATAGAGAACCGGACAAGCCCACATCCCGGCCAGTGATGCTTCACACTGAAGGCTCAGTCTGGGGCTGTCTGGTTGGAGGAGGTCAACTCTCAGAAGCAGGGGTGCGATGGGGACCCTGTCACTGTCCTTGTTAGTCCTTTTGTGCTACTTTAAAAAAGAAAGTATGTCCGAGCAGCAAACCTCATGTAACTTCTTTCAAGATTGCCTCACAGTCAGTTGTGGGATTCCTTGGTGGAAATTCCCAGTGCCTGAAGATGAGAGCACCTCTCCGATATGCCCAGAGAGCTTCCTCAAGGCCGTGGGCATCGGTTTGCAGAACTGCTTCACGGAAATCGTGTGGCACACTAAGTTCAAAGTCACAGCTCCTGCTGGGCTGAGAAGACTGGTCCTTGTGGCCTTGCAGCCTGTGTGGACGTGAGCCATGGGAAACTGGGTCTGGGACAGAGACTGGGCCACTTCGAAGAATTGGTGGAAACAACCTTCCAGGGAGAGGAGACTCACTCTGAAACAGACCCAGACTGGCAGAGTAAGACACACTCTTAGGCTCCCATGGTCAACCGGAGCATGGAGTTCCCACTAAAGGGCCACAGGAGTGGGTCTTAACATTTGGGCTCTCTCTCTCTCTCTCTCTCTCTCTCTTGCTGTCTTTCCCACTGGACAGTTAACCTCTCTGATGATAAATGATCTATTTGTATATGAGCCCAAGAACTGGTATCATGGGCACGTGCAAATCTTGGTTTCTGATACTCCTAGGGATGGAACAGAAGCTGTTTGTCAGAGCAGGGTCACATACCATGTACCTGAGGCCATGTGAATCTTCTCTGGCAAGATACCACACCTGGCACAGAGGTTACAGTTGGGGCGACCACTTGATAGAGTGCAGTAATCTATGGTGTCACCCTTCAGGACCCATCATTGTCTTTTGTCGGGACTAGACTGGTGAATTATATGGAGATTAGGTGGTTTATGACTACTCCTGCATGTTTTAGGTCTTTACAGGTGGCATGAATCGCTGCCATTCTCCCAGAAATAATATCTTGATTTAATATCTTGGCTCAGGGTATTGGGTAACTGTCACAGGCTTCCACTAAGATGGCTCTTATCCCACAGATCAAGGACATAGTGGTGCCGCCAGCTGTCACATATGTCCGTTCTGACCATACATCCAGAGACCAGGGAAAAGTGATCACCAGGGTTGGGGAGTCTGTGAACCCACCTTGAGCCAGACTTGGACTGTTCATTACCTGGCCCCTGTATGCCCTCACTCCACCAGGGCGGCTGCAGCGACACTTCAGGTTCTCAAGGGCCAAGTCTCCAGGTGTCACTGTCTACTCAGACAAAAATCTAGAAATGTTTGGGTGTTCCCATTCCCCTCAGTGTACACTTATCCAAATAAATGGCTACAGGTCACTTTAGGGAAGGGCTGGGAAACACTGCTCTGTATCGTTGCCATGATGGTATGGGGTTCTTCCTCTTGGGGACCCGATCTCCCCTTCAGTCATTGAGTTCTGGACCTGAAAACTGGCCAGAGGATTGTGCCTTTTTATTGGGACAGCTGCCTTCAGCCTCCTTATTGGCCATCTTGGTTTTTTCAGTTGTCCATATTGGTCAATACCCTTGTTGGCTACCCATCTTTCTTGCCCTGAGGGGTGTCCTGTTCTATTAACCATCTCCATAGCGCTCTGCAGGTCAGCTCCTCTTGGTTGCTGCACGGACACTGCTACTCGTTGGGATTCATTTATGGTGGCTAAGCACCATGGATTCAATTATTTCAGGATCCTACTGTCCTCACTGATATCAGAGAATCCAGGCCTATAATGTCATCTCCCACATTCAGCCCTGGCCCACAGAGAAGAGCCATCACTGAGCTTCTGCTGGTGCCCCTCTCACCAGCGATGCTTTATTGCTTTACACAAGGGAGCCTGTTCCAGGCCCTCCCACAAAACATAGTCATGCGGTGGGCTTCCCGGCTTTTCACAGGTCCCTCCGGCATGATCACCTCTGTGAGCCTCCATGGTCTACACAGCAGCCCCACCATCTCTGCTTCACTTAGTGTGGGCCATAGCCTCCTCCACATTTCTAAGAGCCACCCAAGCAGCCTGCTGGCATCATCATCTGGGGTCCTTGCCATACTGTTAAATCCTGTATCCCAGCAGAATGCCCCCTCCCCGCCCCCATCCAGCCTTAGGTTCTGCTGTCTTAGCTAACACCCTCAAGTCAAGTTTGTGTGTTCTCCTGGCTCCTGCCAGTACCTGTTTTCTGGATCACTCACCTCTTAAGGTATAGCCCCTCCTCTTCACATGCATCACTCCAGGTGTCCCCCATCCCATTTCTCAGTCAGGTGCCTGGCGTTGCTGAGAGTTAACCTTCTCTGCAGCTCGGCTACTCTTACCTGAGACGGGGCCTCTTGCTGTGGAAGATGGGAGTGTCCTTATAGGCTGCTAAAGAGGCACTAGTCAACCAACTCCATTGTCCCTAAATTTCTACTTACCCCGTATTTCTCAGCCTCCTAACACATATTATTATACACCAGCCCATTGCCTTCCACTGGTATGCCGCCCTGGTTCACCGGTAAAAATTTTAACAGTTGCCTTACTGCCTCTTGCCGGGGCTATCTGTGCCCCATCTACCACCAGTGCTGGGGTTCCATTGCTGGCTGGGCACCAGGTGATTCAACGGTAACATTTCACCTTAGCATTTGCTTTCTTGGACCACTGGCACCACCTGTCAGATCCTTGGGAAGGAGACTGAGAAAATGTAGGATGTGTGTGGGTTCTCTTGGATCAACACCTGTGGGGGGAAGGGAAGGAAGCAAGAGTGAGCAGAAGGAGAGGTCGGGCTGTGATGTAGTCAGCCAGTCCCACATGGAGCTCTAGAGCTGGGGTGGCCCACAGAGTGGTCCGCAATTGATGCAGGGAGCCTGTCCCTTATTCTTCATGTCAACCAGTTGCTAGATGCAGGGAGCCCCTGGGAAGAAGATGTGACCTTGGCTGAGGCGACTTTCTGCAGCTGAGAGTGATCTCGGGGTGGGGGTGGGGGGGTGAAACTCAGCTGTGAGCTGCGTCACTGTGTTTCCACAGTGGCCACTTCACCCTGATGTCCCCACAGTCTTATCTGACCCCAGCCTCCCTGCATCCTTCACCTCTGGCTCCCAGCCCCCACTCACTGGGCCTCTCATCCCACAGAGGACAAGGAATGCCTAAGGCTTACTTTGCGGGGGTGGGGGTGGGGGCAGACAGTGTTTCCGAATTGCTTTGCTTGCTTAAGGATCATCGAAAATTGACTGTAGCTAATGTTATTGAATTCACTTCTTTTTTTTTTTTTTTTAGTTTTATGAAAGCCTTTTCCCTCCAGGTATTACTATTTCGTTTCTGAGATATAAGCAAGATCTCAGCAAAACTGAAATAGCATTTTTTTTTAACCTGGCATTGTAGAGTTCTAAACTATGTTCACACAACTTTTTATCAATTTAATTAAGGTATAATTTATACACAGGAAAATACATTCATTGTAAGTGAGTTTTCACAAATGTGTACCATCACCCCAATCCAGATACACATTTCCCTCACCCCAGAACATTCCCTCGTGCTCATGTTCACTCAAATCCCTTTCACCCTGGCCCCCTAGGCAACCATGAATTTTATTCCACCACCAGAGATTAGTTTTGCCTGTTGTAGCATTTTATTGGGTTGTCGGAAAAGTCATGACATATTTTGTCTATGTTTTTCAAAGGTCATTTATTTATATACAGAACGAAGATCAATCAATGATATATTGCCCATTTTGTTCGATAACCTTTTGCCATTTTTCAGTGGGCTTTGTAATTCCTCATTGATAGAAGGATCTGTCTTTATTTGTGAAAAACTGAACAAGGTGCTGATTTACAGCCTCATGTGAATTGAACGTTATACCATGCAAGGAGTTTTGAAGAGAGCGAGACAAGTGGAAGTCTGATGGCACAAGGTCAGGCAAGTTTGGTGGGTGTGGCAACACATCCCATCCGAGCTCCAATAATTTTTGATGGGTGATCAAACTTGTGTGTGGTCTCACGTTGTCACGATGAAACACAACTCCTTTACAATTAACAAGCTCTGGATGTTTTTGGATGAGGGGTTCATTCAAACTGTCTAATTGCCGACAGTACACATTCGAATTGATTATTTGGTTCCTTGGTAAGAGCTCGAAAAACACGACACCTTTAAAATCCCATCACACTGAGAGCGTAACCTTCCTCTGATGAATGTCTGCTTTTGATGTCGTTTGAGGCGAATCATCACGTCAGGACCAAGACCGTTTGCACGCCAAGATTGTTTACGTTGTGGTAAACAATCTACTTCTCATCACCAGTTATCAGTTGCTTCAAAAAAGGATCGTTTTCCTCAGGTTTAATGAGCATATTGCAGATGTTTATACGTGCCATCAAATGAACTTCTTTGAGCTCATGCGCAACCCAACTATCGAGCTTGCTTACGTATTCCAGCTTCTTCAGATGGTCGCGAACGCTTGAACGATGGATGTTCAATGTTTCTGCAATCTCTTGTGTTGTGTAACGTGGGTTTGACTCGATCAATGCCTTTATTTTGTCGTCATCAACCTCGGTGGGCCTCCCTGACCGAGGAGCGTTGTTGAGATCAAAATCACCAGTGCGGAATTTCGTGAACCACCGTTGGCACTGACGTTCTTGTAGAACATTGTCACCATAAACTTTATGCAACTTTTCACAAGCTTGATGCACATTCTTCTCTTTATGGAAGTAAAACAGTAAAATATGGCAAAAATGCACAGTTTGGTCTTCCATCTTCAACTTGCTGTAAAATCTCCAAAACTCAACCAAATTGCTCAATTTTTTTTTACAATGAGGCTAGAACTGTCAGCTGTCAAATGACATAGCAGTAACATAGATGTGAATGACTCTAGTACTTCCAAAAATGAACTAGTGCCATCTGTCGCAAACATGCGTCATGACTTTTCCGACAACCCAATATATAAGTGAGATCCTACAAGAAGTACAGCATGGCTTATT